TTTGCTAATATGGACAAAGGCATTGCTATTGCTGTAACTGAGTAAACAGAAGATATAAACGTTTTGAATGATAAAACAAAGACAATAAACACTCGACTGCGACAATGTATAGTTTATCTGTGATATTCAAGCCATCTTTGGTATTTTCATCATAATTAAGTATATTTATAATCCATTGCTAATCAACATAGTCTTTTTACCATATGCTTTTTACAGTATAGAACATATTTTCTGCCTCATTCTGTGACAAGAAGCCACATCAGAGCACAAAAGGAAGCAGTTGTGGAGTAAAAACGTTATAGTGTTCTCTTTTCTTGGACAACAGGTTTAGAAATGCTTCTCATTGCAAGTCATTACAAGGGAAGTTTAGCTTTAGTAGGGTGACAATATTTTAGTTTTTCAAAAAAAGGACAGTAGGGGGCAGGTTCGTGGGTGGGGCTTTGCCTAACAGTATAAGTAGCAAGGTTTTTTTTTTGTTTGTTTGTTTGCTTATTCTGTTTGTATAATAAATAAAAAGAAAACAAGTAGAAAGAATAGAAAAAGAATAGGGAATGCTAGTGTTAGAGGGTCATTTTTAAATAAAACAAGTCAATAGAACAGAAAAAGAATAGATAATGCAAGTGTTAGAAGGTCATTATTTATAATAAATAAAAAGAAAATAAGTGGAAAGAATAGAGAAAGAATAGAGAATGCTAGTGTTAGAGGCTCTTCTTTCTTTATAAATAAAACAAGTAGGTAGAATAGAAATAGAATAGAGAGTGCAAATGTTAGAGGGTCAAGTTTTTTAATAAAACAAAAACAAGAAGATAAATTAGAATTAGCATTATAATAGAGAGTGCTAGAGTTAGAGGCTCAAATGAAGATGAAAGAGATGTGTTTTCAGCTGTTTCTTGAAAATATTAAGGACTCAGCTGCTTGGATTGAGTTGGGCAGGTCATTCCACCAGGAGGGAACAGTTAATGTAGAAGACCATGGAAGGTTTATCATAGGTAGAATGCAAAATGTTTCAATACAAGCATTTCAGTCAAATGTAATTTATGCAATATTTCAAACCTTTAACCCACCTGCGAAAATCAACCCATGGCACCAGTTTAAAAGTCATTTTTGTAGGTCCACAAAGAGGACATGTCCGGGGAAAAGAGGATGTATGGTCACCCTAGCTTTAGGCATTTTAATTTAAGAATGTTTAGCTTAGCTAGCTAACGGTATCTACCTGCTGCCATCAGAGCAAGTGTAATTACTGCATTCACGCACTCCTCGGATGCTCTCATTTCCCTTTCCGACTTACTTTCTCAGTCGAGAAATTATTTTTCACGTGCGGTGCCGGTGATCCTTATGTCCGTTTCGGATAACAAATATTTCAATCGATCGCTCAAGCATTTAAGTGGCACCGAAATGAGGCACCGAAATCTGCGTTCTGATTCAGTTCTAGTACATACCGGTTACATACATTACATTCGGTACCCAACCCTAGTCTGAATATGCCTATTTCCATACAATATAGTAGGCGAAAACAGTATGTGAAAAGACTATGTCCGAATTCATAGCATTCAAAAAATAGTAGTAGGTGAAAAGTACCCTGATGACCTACCACTACCGCAGAGATTCTGGTGTGTGCATTCGATAGACATTTTACTATCCGAAGCCACGGTAAAGGAGTTATGAATGGCAGTGAAGCGACACTGATCATCACATGACAATGGCAACATGACAAAAGTCAAGCTGCATCTGAAATCATAGATTTATCATAGGTAATCATGGTTTCGGATGCAGCTTGACTTTTACAACTTATGCTATTTCTTTAGGAGGGTCCTGGTCACATATGATATCACCATGTAGCACATTTCTAATTGGATAAACAGATTGCGTTACAACTCACTGCATGTTACAACACTCCCCGCTCGTCCATACTTAATAATTAACAAGAATCAGTTTAAAACCTCAGTGACGCACAATCATGACTTGCTTACTATAAGTGTTTGTATAAATTGTGAAACAAAACAAGTATCCGCAAGTGGGGCTTCATACAATAGACGTCTTACATTGTGCAGTAATGGAGGTCCTGTCTGTGTTTTCAGCCCACTCCAGGCACACAATTGACCCTACTGAGAGCTGTCACATCAACACTCACAATCTGCTTGGGATGTGAAGTGCTTTCAACAGAACCAGTGATAACAGACCAGCTGCGCTGTATCTGTTTAATAACGTCCTTTCTTTCTTTCTGGCTCTATTGTGTTATTCTATCCAGCAACACGCATAAAGAGTACTAATCAATGTTGTTATGCAACTTCTGAATCTAAAGCTCTGGGAATTTGAAATGAATGATATAGGCCCAAAATTATGTCCATCAATAAATGATCTACTATCTTACATATTTAAAAAAAAAATTACATTAAAGGAATAGTTCACCCAAAAATGAAGATTTGCTGAAAATGTACTCACTATCAGGCCATCCAAGATGTAAACGAGTTTGTTTCTCTAGATTTGGAGAAATTTAGCATTGCATCACTTGCTCACCAGTGGATCCTCTGCAGTGAACAGGTGCCGTCAGAATCAGAGTCCAAACAGCTGATGAAAAAGTCCATCCCCTGTTGTCCTTTCACAACAGTGAAAATCCACCAACATATTTGTTTTTAAAATGGCTTGGACTGTTTTCATTTATAAACGGTGCTTGATCTGTGCATATTTCTCTCCTGATTCAAACGTGATGACTTTTTCACTGGAGGAAGCATTATTATGAACTTGGAAGCAATTTGTTTATTACAAACATGCAAATTTCCAATTCACAAGACATTGACTGAAGTCGTGTGGAATCGTGTGGATTCCTTGTGGATTATTGTGTATTTTTATCAGCTGTTTGGTCTCTCATTCTGATGGCACCCATTCACTGTAGAGGATCCACTGGTGAGCAAGTGATGTAATGCTAAATTCTTTAAATCTGTTCTGATGAAAAAACAAACTCATCTACATCTTGGAAGGGCCGACAGTGAGTACATTTTCATTTTGGGGGAAAATATTCCTTTAAGAAGAACAAAGTCACCTTGAGTCGTGAAACCATGCGTCTTTATGGATACAAACTCTCTTGCAGCACACTATTATTAGCATTTCACGCATATTAAGCAAATAAATTATGTTTGCTTTTCATTTTCATTCAGGAGCAGTTAAAAACCAGCTGCACTGATATCACAAACATCAGACTAATCTACTATGGCTAACATGGTTCAGATCTGACCCCTCGTCCTAGTAAATCACCTCTAATGTGTGACTTCACATCACACTTAAATTGAATTCTATATCAAATACAAAATAAATAGCCATCCCAAAATGCCTTAGGATAAGAATAAATAACCTTCGTTGAGGCATTTCCCATTGAACCACCTTTTAAACAACTCTAAACTTGATTAGTTTTTCGAGTGTCCTAAGGGCTTGTTCCAATGACATTTCTGTATATTTCGGGGGCATACAATAAGAAAAACAGGTCTATGTGCACATAAGAATCATATTTCATGTATTCACCTATCTTGATTTGTGAAGTGTCACTTTAGATAACTGGGACACAGGAAGAACAAGCCTAAGACATCTAAGACGAGGTGCATTCAAAATGACAGGACTAGAGAAATCAATTCTTTTGAAGTCAAGATGTGCTTATTATGCTCTGTCTAACGCCCCAGTGGTTGCACAGACCTAAACAGAAAGGAAGAGAAGGAGAGAGAGAGACAGGGAAATCGTGCTTTCACTCTTCCTCAGCTAATCACTGGTTAGAGCACAGCACCTTCTGTGTCTTAATCTACCACCTCAACCACCTGACACCTGCTCTACAGAGTGAACACACGATACTGAATATGTCGGCTTCACTTAGGTCACTTCTGCTGGGTCGCATCTGCTACCCAGACGCTCTGAGACGATACAACACAAAGGCACAGGTGCATACAGGAACACAAGTAACTCCTGTCCATTCAAACTGTCATGTAGTGAGTCTTAACATGAAGTCTGAAAAAAATAAACTTTGATGACAGAGAGAGGTGAGGTATATACTTACTAGTTATAAACTTACACCAGGCAGCTAGTTCTTAGAAAGTTAATCTATAATATAATATAATATAATATAATATAATATATAATATAATATTTTCAGGAAGATCCAAGATTTCCATTTTTGTTTCTATTTGAAAAAGTGTCTTTTTATAAAAATCATAAATATCTGATTTTTAACAATTTACTGACCTTGACACACAGTCATAAGGATCTAAAGGGTTTTTCCTCTTATTCTACAATTGTCAAACGACAAAGAAAATGCTTTCTGCATGTTGGTTACACTTTGCTCTTTGGCGAATAAACATTTTTTTAAATATTAATAATATTGACTTTTATTAATATAGATAATACAAACTAATATAGACTTCTTTTTTTTTTTTTTTTTACAAGCAGACAGTTAGACCACACTGACATTTCACCATATGTTATTGACTGTGTCTCTCAAACCCTACAGAGCTGTCTACCTAGACAGCATATTTAGGTATCATGTGTGCGTGCACACTTTTGGGGGCATCGAAGACGCCTTCCTCTTCACGCACTCACTAAATTCAGCGGATTATGATTTAGTTTTTAAATCTGCACGCGCACCTAGGATGCCCAAAAATGCTGTCTAGGTAGACACCGCACCAGGATTTGAGACATTTTAACAGACAGGAAAGTTTCTGCTGTTACTAAGCGACAGAACGTATTTACAAACTGACATTTAAATAAATCACACAATGAATTAACGCACGTATAACAAATTAGTATATTTAGAAACACATGTTTAAGGCGTTCATTAGTCACAGGGACAATAGTTTTGCATATGTCCTTTGAGGAATTATAATGTCATTGTTACAAGGCTACGACTAAAATGTGGGTCGCAAAAGACTAAAAATATGGGAAACCACGACATGTATTGTATCTATGACAGATGAAATGAATTATATGAACAACATCATAATATTAAAAACGTTCAGTCTTACCGGACGGATTTTCTTTGATGGTGATGAATTACTGAGAAACGTCCTTCAGATGAAGCTCTCCCCGTAGTTTACCTCAGATAAAACATGTAACACCACAAAACTTGAGGATGGGGATGTGAGGACCGTCCTCTATGAATTACTGCCCTTATTCTCATTGACTTGGAGCCCGTGAGTCGGTTTTGACGGGTTTTTAAAGTGGGCTGTAACGAATCTTCAGTTTCCCCGCCTCCGATTGTCTAGACCGAGCCGCGACCAATCAAATCATTCAATGGAATCTTCGTCACACACTGGACGCAACGCTCACTTGAAGCCTGTAGTGCGTGCGCTGATTATAGCCTTGTCCAAATACCCACACTTGCGGTCTTTGCACTTGACCACTTGACTACTTATAAAGACGTATTTCCTGTATTTGGCCCAAGTGTTCAAGTGAGGATGAAGACCACAAGTGTGTGTCGAACTTTTCATTACCTGATGGGACACACTTGTAGTGTTGTAAAAATGCAAGTGTTTACATA